CTTGAGGGGGAGGAGAGATGAGGAAGCCGCCATCCATATCCATCACACTGTGACTGCCCTGGACCTTGACACCCGACGGGATTGCTCGGGCGGTCCCCACCTCCAACTGCCCCCACCTGCCAGAACCTGCCCTGTCCTCGCACGTTCGTCTACCCGCCCAATCAGCCTCTCCTGCTCGTTCAGTTCAGACCAGACCAGAGAGCCTTGCGTTGCGGCCCTTGCCAGTGCCTGCCTAAACAGTATCGACACTGTACCTGCATCCCCCCTGCTTCCTGCCTTGCAACCCATCCTCCCTCACGAACCCACTCCAGAAGCAACTTCGACCCGCATTTTTCTTAAGCGAGCAAAACGTGAATCCACCTCATGATCTGATTCCACCGTGCCTCCTCACTGACGCATCCGGTGCCCATCACGACCGCCCCCAAAATCAAACTCTAATGGACGACGTGTCTATGAAGATGTAAAAGAGGCGCCTTCTTATTCATCCTCTCGAACCATCGTGATATCATCCGATGCCTTTGCTAACGCGACGCTCCTGATGAGGGGTCTCCAATAACCAATATCCAGAGTGAAGAGAGGACTTACTATGCAGTAGAGGGATCACTAACCGTCCAAGCGATGCGAATCCGTCCACTTCTTGCTTCATCCCCCAAACACCCACGGTCCGATTCATTACCAACCAAACCTGTCAAAGAAGGCATGGACAAGGACGCCACGCGAAGCTAGAGATCCGCACCTCGCCCCGTTGCGAGATGACTGACTGCGCCAAATATCAAATCCGACGGAAAGGTTCACCCTTTACTGTACAGATACCCAAGCCGCCGGCATGGGAAAACGCCTCTCGAGACACACACACTCTCTCTCTCCTTGTCATCACGCACTCCTGCGGCACAGGCGGCGAGAGCCATGCTTGTTTTTGGCAATGTTTGCCTGTCTGCCTGTAAATAATTCACCCGCAAACTTCGGTTCTGCTCATGGCAAAGTGAGCCACCGCCGCCCGCAATTCGACAAGATAAGATACCAATGATCGACCGTGATCACAGACTCATCCAGAAGGCCACGGGGAACCTTTTTACCACGCGTGATTGTTCCGTTTGCCCACATCGAGTCTGGTCCAGGTTCTTTCTCTCAATAGCGCTGCAACGTACGGTGGGCAAAGTAGCAATCAGCCTTCACTCTGTGAGACACGGCACGCAAGGGAAGAGAAACTCATCGGCAAAGCGCAAATGTCAAGTCTGCCAGCTGGGAACACAGCTGGGAACACCTTCGAAATCCGCCAGGGACATACCAATCGAAAGCCATCTCGCATGTCAGCCACATCATCTCGATTTACCATCCTCTCTTACCGCCCCCATCGGCTGCTCCAACTCGCCAGTAGACTGCCGCTGCTGCCATGTAACGCGACACATAATGGAAGTGTAAAGGGTAAGGAAGCTGCTGTCGAATTCACTGGTGGTAGTGAGGCTGTGAACTGGCTGAGTGGTTGACTGTATGGTTGGTTGGTTCCTTGGTTGGTCGCGTCCACTGCTGTCTACCGTTGGACGACATGTCCCAGATCACCCATTCCCATCCAACCATCTCGTATTCCCCTATACCATGTCGCGGCGTGCGTTGACCGTCCTGCCTCATCGAAGCTTCAAGACGTTTGGTCGCCGGTCGCACGACATGAGGAAAACCCACCCCGGTCGGAGAGCTCCTACGCAGAAAGGGCAAACAGGTAGAAAAATGGGCTAGGTGAGATATGATGTCTGCCGTCATCAACCACACCGGATCTCTACCTGCGTCCTGCATGTGTTTATCGTCAGCCATGCAAGCTGGGAGCCTCCATGCGCATGCAACAGCGCTTGCACTTGCAGCCTTTCATCTCTGTTGCTCTGCCTCTCTCACACACATACACACACAGGCCCGGTCTCGTTTGTCGTCTTTCTACAACGGTTGAGGCTGAAGCATTCCTTGATATCTCCACGCCGAGAATCAACGGGGGCGCAGACGTCGAGACACACGTACCGCCGCCCCTACATGGGAAGGGATGACTTGACCTTTGCCCTCCGCCGTCACAGGCATAGGCATGCAACGCCATTCGAGAAAGAGAAGCTGCACGAACCCGTGCCTTTAAACAAGGGTTCCCCGAGCAGAGCCGGGCCTTCTCATCCCACGATTGCCCAGTCGTTCCTTAACCCACCAAGCCTCATGAAACCTCCATGGCCCCCCAAAGGAATTCTCAGCTCAGCTATCCTCGCCGGCGCCCTCCTCACTGGGTCACCCACACACACATATACACACAAACAAGGATCCGAAGCTGTGGTGCAGAGAAACCAGAAACATGTCCGGCGCACATACCTCTGTCAAGACAAGACACCATCAATGACATATGCCCTCCAGCTTTTTTCTCCTGCGGGCCTAATTCGGGCGCGCTGCATATAACACTACCATACGCCTTCAAATGCAGAAGCCGGGGAGAGGGAGGGGGCGAGGGTTCACGCCTTCCTGTTGTCCTAGAATCATTCGTTTTTGCCGGGTAGTAGCAGGCGTGGGCAATGGTTCCACGAGAGGGCAAAGACGGTCCAAGTCCAGAGCCAGAATGGCATCATGATTCCCTATCCTCGTTATTCTAGACGTTCGAGATCGCTGTGATACCTGCTGGTGCCGGAGCGCTTCTTCAACCACCTCTACCAGCCTTTATTCTACTCCTCTCGGCACCGTGTGACGTGATCTTTCACAAATGCCTCCCTTTCCCCCAAGATGCTGCTTGCTTACAAACCGTTCTCCTCTCGTCAGGGTTCTCTTGTTCGCGCCAGTAACAGAAATCGGTTGACGCGAAAGAGCGAAGGCGTGTGAGTGAGTGGGTTGGGTCGGGAGTGTGTGTGTGACCCCCGTCCCAACCTATTTACCCCTATCCCAACATTCAAAACGTAAAACGGCCCTCTTTGCAAAAAAGACATCTCATCCCAGACACCCGTCGCGTTTCTCCAAGTTTTAGCCCGCCCGGTGACACCAAACGAACTTGTCGCAATTACTCGTTCATGGCTTTCGAAAGAGGGATCCAGGGTGGTTCCCTTTTAGCCTTCTCGCAGTGTGTGTGTGTGCGCATTATCGGCGACACTGCATGAAATCCTGTACTGTGCCAACACATGAGACTCTCTTACTCTCTTACTCTCTCACTCTCTACCTGCAGTCCTGCCCCGGGTCTGCGGCTGCGGGCTCTAAATTGTCTTTTTCTTGATCTTCTATCTTGAGGGAAACTCTGTACCTTGTTCCCGTAACCTGTGTTGCAGTATCTGTACGCTGTACGCCAGTATGTGTCCTCGACTAGACTTGCCGCCGAGAACCAGAAAAACGAAAAAGAGTTCGCCGAGACAGAAACACGCATAGTCTCGTTTTCTTTTCTTGGGGTTTCTGCTCCTACTATGTAGACGTGAGCCAGTTGTACTGATCCTGTATATGTGCGATGCGGTATGCGCCATGGTCTGTTCTTTGATACTGCAGTATAACTCAGCGCGTGGCGCGACGGTCATGTGCCCAGTAATAACATACGAACATTCCTCCCTGCAGCTCGCGGAAGACAACAAGAAGGATCTAGGGGCTGAAAACAATCTTAGACCCGGAGACATATTGGCCACGTGGTGAGGATTGAAGGATTGAAGGAGGACGAGAATGAGGCTTGCCGCCAACGACCAGGTTGCGGTTTTGAGAAACTGTCCCCGGGTTCATCGGTTAGAAAATAGAGACAGAATGCCTTTCGTACGAGCATTGCAGCATCTCGATCTGTGACTGCAGCAGGTCATGTATTGGATTTTTCTTTTTCGTAAACGTGACGCATGTCTTGGTGATGTTTGGGCCACCTCGGTGTTTGCTTCTAGCTGCTTCTCGCTACTGCATGTCTTGCTTCGAGAGGCGGGTCCTCGGGGAGTTTGACGTTCCCGTTGATTCTGGCGGCGGGCAGCAACGGGATATGGACAGGTGTCCGGCGTTTGGGTTTCTGGATGTTGGCTTGGTATATCCTCATTGTCGATCATTGATTGTTTCTCTGATAAAGGGGGAGGGTTTGATTTGCTCTCTCGCGGAGTTCCGCTGCGATATATTTGCTTCTTCCGTTTGCGTTTCGTCAATGCGCTCGTTCAATGAAGTCGGGAGTGTAGAGATTTTATTGCTTTTCGGCCCCGTAGGCTGGTTCTACCCAATATCTTCCTGTGTCAGGAAGGCTTGTTATTCGGCCCTCTTGGGGCATTTTGTGACGTTCAGAGGACAGACAGTCTCCATTTTATGATGTGCGTTGACATTGCCGAAGCCGAGTGTCGACCCCAAGGTGTGACGCCAAGGACCGTAGATCAGCAGCAGGACAGTTGTCAAAAGCACTCAGATGAAATTACAAGTCAGTCTCAAGTCTCATGTGTGGTGCCTCATGACATTGTAATTCACGCAATTCAGGGCTTAGGGATACCAGAGGCAGTCAGGGTGATGAAGCCACCAGATATAGTTCATTCCTCGTGATTTTGGGGTCGATATCTTACATGTTATCTTCATTTGGGAGCATGTTTATGACATGGGAATCTTGTTCATGTAACTTCGAATGAATGTGAGATGTTCGGCTCATCGGACCACTCACGTAGTTTTGTTCTTGAACATCGAACTGGGACTCCATGATATCTGCCCCCAACGTGGCCGATTTCAACCGAACGAACGCTCAGTTGTATCTTCCGGCTATTGATGATGAACAGGATCTCATGCGTGGATAGTACTCTCACTCATTTCTTATAGGATAAATAGCAATCATTGGTCAGGCACACACGTATGTGAAATTTGTTTGATAAGAGAAGATACTGCAGACCGGCCAATAGCGCTGTAATTCCGACTTAATACTTGTTTGCAATGACTCCCTTGAGAGTCCTTCAGGTATTGAACAAGTTTCCGTTTTGAAAATTTTCATCTAAAGCTCTCAATCGTCATCGGGGTTGGGCGCTGAGGTCTGATCAGACTCACTGTCATCTAAAGGCTGAACATTATGCGACTGAAGTCGAACGACTGAATTCAGTTAGCCAACAAGTCTCCGAAAAGGTATATCTCGTCCCGTGTCAACCCTATCATGGCAGATGAGACCTAGAAATGGGAGCATATCGTACGCACTTACCCTTCCTAGCACACTCACAAGCCTGCCCCTCGGTGAGTGAATTTTGATGCACCAGGGCCGTGGTTCCTTCAAAGAACAGTTGCTTTCCAAATCATCAGCAATTGGACCCGAATGACTCAGGCCGTAACTTACATAGACAAATGTTTCCATCTTCTCTAGCTCTAGTTCGAATCGTCGGACGATGGCCTCGTCGACGCTGCTGTTTCTGAGCTGTGTGATGAAGGCGGCCAGCTTCTGGGCATCGCCCTGGCTATACCGCGTCACATTACGAATGCTGCCGAGTACGACCTGTTTAGCGTGGATGTTGTCTCGCAAGTCGTGGAGGCATGTGCTGATTTGATCCTGGTCAAGTTCCTGGGAGGGATATCTCGGGCGGGCGATTCGGATAGGGCAGTAGCCGTGCATGATGACTCTCTGTGTGTTGATTAGTAGACTACGTGAGCTTTTTCTGGAGATCTGCTGGTGGCTACAGATGCGCTGGTTCCCACGATGCGAGAGATCCCCTATATACCGAAAGGTCCAAGGAAGAGGATCTGTCTCCAGGGTCTTTGGAGAAAGATAAAGATGAGGCTACGCTGCCCTGGTCGTCCTTACGATGTTGCTCCTTTGTTCAAAGCTATCTTTTTATAAGCCGTGACTCTCAAGCTTGAGGTTCTTTGGCAGGAGGACATCGCCATCGACCTCTGATGAAACAAAGCAAAGGGTTGTCATTTGTCAATTTGACAACAATTTCATTCGAAACGTGAAGCAGAAGAACTACTATCAAACTCAGGGTTCATAATTTCATCTGAGGGACCTTAACAACCCTAGAGTGCAACCGGGAAGTCCCAGGGGCTGCTTGGTTCTCCTTTACCTTGACATGGCCAAAAGTCCTGCTTCCTGAGACTCTTTGCTGTGGATTCGCCGCATTGCGATTGCGATAAAGCAACAACGAAAACTGAACAATCAGAAACAATGAAAGCTTTGAATCATTAAAGACCACCATCATACAAAGACAACAATATGGAAGGTGACGCATTATAGACACAAGGAGCACAACCAACCAGATGCTTGTACAATACAACCAGCGCTACATAGAGTCCACGTGAATACGATATTCATTTTGAATATAAGGGACTACCATTTCCAATGAGACCGCCTAATTTTCCTGTGTCTGAGCGGCTGTATTTCCTGTGCACTTGATTACTCCTATCGAAAGCGATAGTAGCGACAGCAACAATGAGGACGGGGACGAGGATAAGGACGACTATAACGACAACGACGATAACAGAAGCGACGACGACGACGACGAAAGTACATGATTAGAGTATAGTCATGGGAAAAGTAGTCGCTCTAGCACAGAAAAAATAGGCGGTCGCTTTCCAATCTATTACACATTAATGGGTCTTTCCTCCAAGCGCTCACACCCTTCTGCCACCTCTTCAAAATGGAATGGGAATATTTGAACGATCAAGCGAGTGAGGGTATTTCCAAACGATACTCCGCCCAGTCTATGCGCCTGTCCGCACAATCAACTCCTGTTTCAAAAGAGTGTGCTCCCTTCTTCTAATGGAAATTTACGTTTCGACCGTGCAACATCGGAGCGTCGAAATACTCGTGTCGTCCATGGCGACTTGATGCCACATGCGTCGGTGACTCCTTGATATGAATGGGCTCATCCTCGTCATTTGACACCGACAAGCCCTAACATCGGAGAATCCATATGTCACTTAGACAGCAGCCGTAGCGGAAGGTGCCGCCGGGGCGGCAGCGGCCGACTTCTCAGGGAAGTGTCCTCCCTGAGGAACGCGGCCGTACTGAGTAAAGTAGAGGTTCAAGGCGTTGTAGTCCCACTTCCTGGACAGCATGAGGAAGAGCACGGAGCCGAAGGGGATCATGAAAACGTCCAAGATGCCGAAGAAGATGAAGCGAGGGGTGACGCCAATCTTGTTGCCGCCCTCGGAGACACCAAAGGCGATGGGGTAGAGCAGCCACAGGAGGTTGAAGTAGCCGGCGAGAATGAGGTAGTCGCCCGTAGTACCGACGCGCTTGGCGCCGACGGTGCCCTCGGTGAAGGTCGAGGCGGCCATGGCGAGATAGGCGATGGTGCCGAAGACGAAGAAACCCCACTTGTAGACGGAGGGCGTATAGGCGGAAACGAGGTAGCTGATGACCCAGACCCAGGAGAGGAAGACGTGCCAGGCGATGGTGGCCCAGGAAGAGTTGGATACAAGGCCGAGGAGAATGTTGACGATGGGGAAAGAGACGACCCAGTTGATGTACTTGTTGAAGAAGATTTGGCGATCCGAGACGAGTGACCATCCCAGGTCGGAGGCATTCGAGAAGTAGGTGATTGCACCGACGAGCAGGGCGATGTTGAGGAGATAGTGGAAGATCTTTTCACCGCTTCTAGGCTTGAAGGATAGTGCGAAGACGCCGAGCTGCGGTCATGTTAGAGGGTTGTTGAGGTTTGCAGATTGATGTTGGCCGACTTACGAAGACGAAGGAGTAGATGGCCACGCAGGCCCAGAGCCAGTTTGAGCCGTTTACACTGAGACGCTGCTCGACCGCAGGCGGCGGATTGATGTCGAGAGCCTCGTTCACGCGTTTTAGGAGAACACCCATGGCTGCTTGCGGTGGTAATTCTGCGGACAGCGTGTAGATTGAGCGGGATAAGAGAAGAACGGTTTATGTTGCTGTGAGATCCTAATGAGATTGACTCTAGCGGTGCTTGATGATGTTGTGTTGAAGCAGAACAGTTTGCGAAAGGCGGGAGAGGCGGAACGGTCTTATACTTTTCGTCGTGCAAAACTTCTCCCATCCTGCAGGCACTGAAGTCACCATGAGGTTCCAGAACATGAAGCACACATCAATCCTGCAAGTTCACCGTCACATCAAACTCCGAACCCGCCGACATCTGCCTCCGCCCGAAAAGAAAACCTACGATTTGAGGCCGAACTACAAGATCCCCCGTCCAATGATCTAGGCGATCAGCACAGGTCAAGGTCTCCCCGACGGATGAGACGGGCGGAAGCCAGGTGAACCATAGAAGGTTCCGCTACCGTCAGAAATCTGAGAAAGTCAGAAGACCTTCTGACTGAAGTCAGCCAAGGTCGGGGTCTGGATGCAACGGTCCTGCACGAGGGAAGAAGACGAAGTGGGCCATTGTGGGTTCCAACGAGAGGTCCGCTCCCAGGGCTGCCGGGGAGCGACCCTGGACCAGAGTCGTAGCTTGTTTAACGTTGTTCCAATCCAGTGCGTCCAGGTGTGAAGGTGCCGTGGGAAGGTGCGATGAGTCGATGATGGGACCAGAAGTGACAAGGGTTTTTGTGAGCGCCAGAGCCGCTTGCATCGGAGATATCCCGGTACTCACCTGCGGGAGTGCCTGACCATGACACCGAGAAGGGTGATGGCGGGGGTCAGGCAGTCAGGCTAGGCAAATTGTATCGTTGCTTCATCTCACCCTTACACAGAAAAGATCTCAATTCTTAGATGAAAGGCGTAGTCATAATCGAAAGCTTGTATTGAACGGTAGTTGTCGCAGAGATGTGGCACGCCGGCTCTCGAGTACAAGCGCACCTTGGAACTTCATGACATGTAGGGGTCCTTGGATTGTCAATCAGACTTCAGACTACTTGCTTGGTAACTTGAGTTTTGAAGCCGACAGGAGGACTAGTGTGTACCGTAGTAGTCATATTGCTTCGAAGTGTGGGGGACGAAACCAAATGCCGACCTATAGAGGTGAATGCACAGACGCACCGTTCGCCATTTGCTACCCAAGACAAGAGAGACGACCCTTGTCGCTACTCGGGAGTGACCTGATGATCGTGACAACAGAAAGTGAGGGAAACCTTGCGATGGGAAAAACTGCAGAATGGCGCTTCCCGAGACCCAATTATTTCCCGCGTGGTTCGGCATTGGTGGGAGGTGCCGCTACTGGAAAGATTGATAATCCTAGAGGACAAATGAGAAAGATTTTCCAAGAGGAAGCTATGACATCGTTTTGATGCCAACCTGCATGCCAATGGCACGTGGTGCTCGGTATCCAAAGGATGACCCGCTCCGGGATCCCCGGCCGGCCTCAGCCGGCGGACGTTCGGGACTATCGGAACTAGCCCACGTCCTCTTTGTCCGATGACTAAAGGGTACATTTTCTAGACTCATACTATTCATTGCCTTCGGTCGGTGAACCAGCGGCGTCTGCCTTCAGCTGAGACGAGGCTTCAAAGTTGAATTCAATGATGGGGGGTCGACGTTGCCTTCCACCATCGCACCACTGCCACCCACCAATGGTCTCCCATTCCCCTCTGGCCTGGATACTGATTGTTTAATTGTCTTGTAATATGCGACCTCGAGCTCAGAGCCCTCGAGTCAACACATAAAAGTTTCAAGATGATAGCGGGGTATCAACGAACCCAAGAGAGTCTGTCAGATGAAGGTATCGCGGCGTACCTTCAAGCCAAACCATCTCGGCCTCGCGCGCTTATTCGTTTCTTGTGACCGGGTAGCACACGGGAAGCTACACCACCAAGCGCCATGGCGGCCGGTAGTTGGGACGCAGCGAGCGCCGCACCACAGATTCAGCAGGCGGTTTCTCGATGAGTCGCTCCTCGTTCGCATGCAACCATCCCTGTCTGTGATGGGGAGGTCCACACCCTCACGTCATGCCACCAAGACCCCTGCGCACCCCGAACGACGACCCTGCCGTCGATCGTTGACCCGGTTTGGACCCTTGCACATGCAGCGCCGCCCATTGAACCTCTGGTGGATCCCCCGCCCAACGGCTCGAATCCCACTACCTACCGAAACTTCTTCTTGGTTGTTGGCGGGCTTTTCCAGAGCTTTCTTCTCTGGATCCTCTCGTGATCATCAGATCACATGGAGATGAACTCATCCGCAGCTTCCGGCACACCGATCGTCGAATAGCATCTTGTCACCAGTGGCAGCTTGGGCAGTTAACAACGATGATTAGCATACACATCGGCTAACATGCTCAATGAACGTCTCTCGGCAGTCACCGAAGGGACCTCGAAGTATATCTTGCAATTCTATGGTCTCGGAGTTAGTGGTCAGAGAACTCCTTCACCTACAGGCGTTGACGTCCGAAATTCCGCTACCAAGTGAGACAGCAGCCGAGATCCTCCGCAAGATGTAACCTCGCCGTACTATGCAGTAAGATGAGTAAGAACTCAATCCACTCGCACCTAACGTCTCTCGGAGAATTGTTTTCTGAGACTTTCTGATGTAGGTTTTGATAGCTCGTCAAAATGACGAAGAAACTCCGAGATACGCAGCAGGGCTGGGGCATGGATACTAAATTTCATTACCCGGTCTTTGTGACCATACCAGTAGGTGGGAAGGAAATCTCTTCGTAGCAACCACATCAAACTCAAGCGAACGTCAGGATATAAGGCTTATGTCCTGTG